TTCATTTGATGCTTTCTTAAGGTGGCGAAAGTTTCAGCCAGGTCCTTAACATGGTCCTCAGGTTTTTTTCTTTTGACGATCGAATCGTCGACATAGACTTCCATGTTTCGGCCCTTTTGATCGGCAAAAACTTGATCCACCAGCCTTTGATAGGTTGCCCCCGCATTTTTCAATCCGAAGGGCATCATTTTGTAATTGTACACCCCAGCGTTCGTGACGAATGTTGTCTTTGTTCGATCGTCGGGGTGCATGAAGATCTGATGATACCCCGAGAATGCGTCCATGAAACTAAGCAAGGCATGGCCACTTGTCGAATCGACTAGCTAATCGATCCTCGGCAAGGGATAGAAATCCTTCGGAAAAGCCTTATTTAGGTCCGTGAAGTCAACGCACATCCTCCAGGTACCATTGGCCTTCTGAACCATCACCACATTTGCCAGCCATTCTGGATATTGGCAAGGTTCGATGAAGCCTGCCTCCAGCAATTTTTTGACCTCGGCTGCGATGTCTCGGTTCTTATTAGCGGAGTAATTCCGCTTCTTTTTCTTAATTGGTCGACACGTTGGGTCAACATTAAGCTTATGGGAGATGAGGTCTGGATTTATCCCGGGCATATCAGCTGCCGAGAAAGCAAACACATCTCTGTTTTCCTGAAGGAGCTGAATAAGTTCACAACGGGTGTTCGGATCAAGGTCCATCCCGATTGTTACACATTTCTCAACGTCTCCTTCGGCCAACTCAACTGTTTCAGTCTGTTGGTCCATGTCCATTGCTGATGGACTGGACTCTTCATAATCTGGCCTGCTGCCTATGTCAGCAGGTGTCCTAGTCTTTTTGTTCTTCGGCTGGCTCTCTGAGTCTTGCTGTTCAGCTGAAGAGCTAGCCTTTTCCCTTTCGGGCCCTTTACCTCTGGGTACAGATCCTTGGGCCGAAGCACTTAGGCCTTTCGGATTTTTTGTGCTTGGCTCTCTTTCTTTTTCTTTCTCCTCCTCATCCTTGTCGTCATCTGGGCGACTACTGGATGGCTTGAGGTAGTTGCACCTTCGGGCGTCCTTTTGGTTGCCCTGTATCCTTTCGGGGAAGCCAGCGTCTGAGACGTAAATCATCAGCTGCTGATAAGTTGAGACGACCCCTTGGATCTCATGAATTATGAGTCTCCCCAAAATCACGTTGTACACTGAAGGAGCGTCAATGACCAAAAATTCAATTATGACGTTCCTGGCTGCCTCATCGCAGCCGATGGTGATAGGAAGTGTCACCTTCCCATCTGGATAAGTTGAAGCCCCGTTGAACCCGGATACCGGGTAGGGTACCGGCGTAAGGTGCTTGGGCTTCAGCTTGATTTGATTGTAGGCCTTTCGGAACAGAATGTTTGCTCCGCTGCCACCGTCAACAAGGACCTTACTGACGTCGTGGTTGGCCACCGTGGCGATGATCACCAACGGATCCTCGTGAGGGAACGTAATCCCCCGGCAGTCGGCGGCTGTGAACGTCATGTTCGGCACCGGCGACTGGGGAGATTGAATGTCAGCGTTGTTCACCTGATGAGTCAAAGCCCTAAGGTGTCGCTTGTGCTCCCTCCGAGAGCATATTCCTCCCGAGATAACATTGATCGGAGAGAATTTCCCCTCCGGTTTTTTACTGTTCTTCCGGGGGAAGTCGAGGTCTTGCCGAGAGTCCTTTGCTGACTTCTCAGACTCTTTTTTCTCGCGGTGATCCGTGATGTATTTTTTCAAGTATCCCTTCCGGACCATGTCCTCTATCTGGTCCTTCAGTTGGATACACTCCTCAGTGTTGTGTCCCGGAGACTCGTGGAACTCGCACCACTGATTTTTATTTTTTCGTTGATACCACTCTGGGAGTGGTCTCGGCTTTCGGTAACTCTGCTCCTCCTTCGTCACGCTGTAAATTTTGGCGCGTGGAAGAGAGAGCGGAGTGTAGGACTCGTATCTGCCAGTGTATGAGGCAGATTTTTCCTTCTTTGGGTCGCTGGCCGAAGATTGCTCTGAGGCCTTTGACTTTCCCTTTGCCTTATGGCCTTAGCCTTCAGACAAGGGTATTTGTCTTTGTTTCCCTCCCCAAATTGAGGTTGGGTTTTCGCTTTGTTCCATTCTTCGGCTCGGATGAACTTATCCGAGGCATTCAGAGCTTCCTCCAAGGTCTGCGGGGTATGCATGACCATGAAGTCTAGGAACTTCCCGGGCTGAAGGCCATTCTGCATTGCAAAAACGGCTAGCCCCTGGTCCAGCTGAGAGACGCTGGATGACTCGTTACTGAAACGGGTCAGATAGTCTCGGAGGCTTTCGGTTTCCCCTTGTTGCAGACTCATGAGTTCTGCAGTAGTCTTCTCTCGGCGGTTTGCCGTGGAAAACTTGCTCCTAAACTTGGAGGACAGATCATCCCACCCTGTTATGGAGCCTTGCTTTACTCCCTTGGAGATCCACGCTTGCGCGACCCCCTTGAGAGTGGTTGGGAAATATTTGCACCAAGTCGCTTCGGATCTGGGGCAAAGATGCATATGAGTCTCATACGAGGCCACGTGATCCTTCGGATCCGAGGTCCCGTCATATGTGATGTGCGACGGTATTTTAACCGTGGGCACGTGCTCTTCCAGTATCCATTGCTCGAATGGCGAACTGGCGGGTAGCATAACGGCCTTGCCCTTGTTCCTGGCCGAAGGGACCGCGCTCCGCCCTCTTAGAGAGGTAGGAGTGGTTTTCGTCCCTGGCTGGGAAGTTTGGGCCTCGGCCGCAGGGAACGAGAGGCGACTGTGCACGCTCGGTTCCTTGCCGCCGAGTCGGCCGAGGACGCTTCGGCGAACAGTCTCAGGTTTTTCTCGGTGAGTGGATTCTGGCCGAGAAGTTGAGCTGCTGCTCTTTTGCGTTTCTGGTCGGGAGGATGAGGATCCTTTGAAAAATTGAGGGTTCTTTTTCCTCTCTTTTTCATTTTTCCAGGTATCCTCTTCCCACTCTTCCAGTTCCCGGAAGGAAGCTTCCCTCCATCATGGTCTAGCTTCCTCCGTTGATGCCGGGTATACGGAGGAGTTCGATCACGAGGTGGTGGCATATTTTGTGCCCTCATTGCCTCCATGAGCACTGCCAGCGCTCTTGCCACCTCCTCCGAGCTGGGCCTCGTCAAAGGGGTCCTCGGCCGAGTATGGGAATGAGGGCGCACAATCGATGGTTGGCTTTGGGGCACTGCATGTGTCCTATGATCGGACTCACCCCTGCTAGACCGAGAGTGACTCGGCCTATGATGAGAGTTATGAATTACGGGAGAAAGGGAATCCTCCCTGTATGATCCTCCCCCCGAGCTGGCACCCTTGGGAGAGTTCCGGTCCGGCGAGGGTGATGGTGTAGGGGTTTTAGGCTTTTCGCCCGCTCCTTGACGGAGGCCTTTGCTCTTGCGGTTCTTAGCCATTGCTACTAAGATTATTGCAAGATGATCTTGGTTAGAAATTTGGCTTAAAGATTTTTGAAAGTCTTCCCCACAGACGGCGCCAAATTGTTTCGGGTGGAAACAATGGGACCTTGTCGAAGGTCCGATGAAGTGGAGAAGACTAGATTCGATCCAAGTAATGTTGGGCCGAAGGTTTCCTGCACAGTAAACACACGTAAACTAGCCTCGGGGGTGTTGCCGAGGAAGGCCCCTCCGATGCTAAAGTCAGTACAATGCGTAGAAAGAGAACACTATGCAAGAGAATTAATTGCTTGAGGCTTTGCTTGAATGAATGTACAAATGTAATATTGATGGCTTTTATACCTCTGCATACATGGAGAAGTTGGGCCTTAGCCCAATTGGCTAACCTTGAGGACTTATCTTTGACTTTAGCACAATTGGAGACAATGAACCTTGACCTTGGGCTTTTAATTGGATCATTTAATGCCTAAGCCCAATTGGACTAAATTGGACCCAAACAACATTTTTACCTCCACACATGAAAACATATCACTTGGCTGCAATTGAACCTCATCTCTGCCACTAGATTAAACCTCATCTCACCTCCGCCACAATTGCCACGTGGACGAGAGGAGAACAGGAGAAGTTCGCGAAAGAGAATGAACACAACGAAGGACCTCTTATTAGCAATTGAAACAACAAATTCATTTGTTTGAAGCAATGAAGGACGTTGACAGAGAAGATCGCCATTAACAAACAAAGGACGTCGACGGAGATATCATTAACGAGCAAACTCTAGCAATTAAAGCAGCGAACTCCAACAATTGAAGCAACAAACTTCAGCAATTGAAGCAGCTATTTAACCAGCAAACTCCCCTGCGACCTCAATAAAGGTTAATGTTGATGGATGCAAAAGGAAATTTGCCGAATCCGTAAATTGCGAACTCCACAACTGCAATTGCACCACCAAATCGCAGGAGAGAGATAGAGAAGGGAAAAGAAGGAGAGAGAAAGAGAAGGGAAAGAGAAGTAGAAAAGCCGCACACCACCAAAACGCTGTCGCACGAAACTATAGGTGGACTGACGAAATTATTGGTCAGGCTTGACTAACCCAATAGTTTATGAAGTAAAAATAGGTAAATTGTAGACGACCAATATATTCCTAATAAAACTCAATCAAATCGAAGACGTTTACTACTTTTATATTTCTTCGATTTAGCTAAAGTCAAAATTGACTTTGATCACATTCATGCTTATTGGCATCAATTTTGTTAAACTTTTTCATCAAAGTCGATCATTTCATTTAGTTTTTTTTCATAGTAAGGAAAATTTGTTAGAATCTATAACCAAAACTTCTAATTTCAAATATAGTTCGGGTCTCTCAAACTCTAACAAATAACTCGAGTTTTACCAAATTTATAGATTTTAATTCCGTAAAACGCAACAAACAAAAAGGAACAAAGGTCGCAAAGCAACCCTAAAAACATCAAATAACGGTGAACGGGCCCCGCACGCCCTCACTTTCCTAGAACCCCACCACTTGTTCAAACTTAAAAACACCAAAGCCTCAGCACGTGCATTACCCCCCGTAATTTGGGGATAATACTTCCCCCCTTCAATGGTGTTTTCGTAAATACTCCCCAACTCCAACCCCATTTCCTAAACCCTACTCATTTTTTACCTCTATCCTTCTCTCACTTTCTCTCCCCGCACAAAACCACACTTTCTCTCTTCTCATTCACCCCTTTCTCTCTCTAGAATCCAAAATACCACCCCCGGTTTTCCGATCAGGAAAGTGGTTTTCCGGCCACTGGTAAAATGACGGGAACAAGGATGCCGACATGGAGAGAAAGAGAAAATAATAAGAAGAGAGAAAGACGACGTCGTGCGATTGCTGCTAAGATCTACTCAGGCCTTCGTATGTACGGTAATTATAAACTCCCTAAACATTGTGATAATAATGAAGTTCTTAAAGCTCTTGCGAGAGAAGCTGGTTGGGTTGTCGAAGAAGACGGTACTACTTATCGCAAGGTAATCCCTTTTTTTTTTTTTTTTTGTGGTAGATTTTGTGTTAATTTAATGTTCTGGTCTCCGGAAAATCGTGAATTTTTCCGGGTTTAATTGAACCCACTTGTTTTTATTTCAAAAAAAAAAATGTAAATTCCCGGATTAGTTGAAACTAATGAACCCATACTTGATCCGTCCCTTAAAATGTAAAATTCCGGGTTTAATTCAGCTGAACCTATTGAACCCACATTTTAACGGGGGCGGAAAATGCAGAATTCACAAATTTTGATCTGAATTGATAATCTTGATTTTATTTGGTTGAAGATCAATTTCTGGTAAAATCTTTTATTGTTTTGGTTAAAAATGATGGAATTTGAGGTGGGAAATGGCGTACGGAAGAAGGTGGATGAGTACAGAGCAATGTCATGCTTCTGGAAGACTCTGCACTTCTGTACTCGTATTACCCAGCAATGGATCTAAATTTTCAGGAGAGAGATTATTTGGTGTCATTATTCTGACATAATTACCCTTGAATTTACCGTTAAATAAGCTTTAAATGTCGTGTACGTAGTTTTGTGTATGATTGTTAAGGGTAGAATTGTCATGTTAAGTAAAATTCCGCCATTGCTGACGAAAAAAAAGGCAGAAAGCGAATCAGAAACTGATGGTAATTTATTCTATAATTCAGAGTCGTAACAAACAGTCTGTTAGTCTTATGTGAACTTTGTCCTTCTGTCTTCATTATTTTCTCGGGATTCCAAATTTTTTATTTTTATTTTTTATGTTGTCGCATAATTTGCCATTTTGCCCCTTATAGAATTACAAATGTCTTCCGGAGTATGTTTTTTATTTCCTTATTTTAATTATGGTTTAATTATTAGGAGTACATTGCTCAGTATTTTTTTTTTAAAAATATATACAGCCTATATATAAGAAGCTAAAAATGGAAAAAAATCGACAATAAATGAATATTTATTACACCTATTTGTGAATTGTTTATAAATTCTCAATTTAATACTAATAAATAAAGTAAGCTTAAGGCTGTATATAACATTACCTTATAAAAATAAAAAAAGGGGAAATTTGTAATTGTACTGATGCACTAATCGTTTGATTTTTGTTATGTTTTTTTGTTTAGTAATTAAGTATGTTTTAAAATTAAGTTTAATAAACATTTATTGATATCCAGCAATATTTAAATATGTTGAATTCTTGGTTCAATACTTTATCCGTCTTTAACTATTATTCTTACTTGATTTTGATTTTATATGTGAGAAATATAGAGAGAGTGTGTCCATTTGCAAAATAGTTACTTCAATTTTTGATTACATGATAATGTAAGACGGATAATATTCTACCTTCCAATACTTGTAACTGGCTACTTCTATTATCTTTTGTGGTTAATTCCGTGACAAAAGTGATACAATGTACTCCCTCCGTCCTTTTATTAGAGTTCTATTTCTTTTTATTATGTGAGTAATAAATGTTAGAAATAAAATTCTAATAAAAAGATAGAGGGAGTATCTCGTACGGAGTATAATACTTGCAATTAGTTAACTCCTCACTTGTACTAGTAAAATGAGTCCAAATAAGGTGTAATCCTTTATATTTCATTTCCGTAACTTAACTCCGCTACTGATGTACTCCCTTCATCGGTTTTTATTTCCATATATATATTGCTTCATAGTCGTCCTTAAAAGATTATCCTATATCAAAAATATCGACAAGGGACCATAATTAGTTAACTCCTTAATCAACGTAAGGTGGGGGGTAAAATGGAGAAATGAAGTGCATTGGGAGGGTAAAATTTAAGGTAAAAAAGCGAGATTCCCGGGAAAAAACTTTAGGAAACACGAGCATGGGCATGCGTGGAGGAGAGAGAAAGAGAGTATTGTGGGGTTGATAGGGAACGTGACTTGTGATGACACACCTGTGGGCAGTGGGATCCACTTTTTATTGTGCTTGTTTTATTTCTCTTTTTGTTAGTTTTGGTCAAGGTGAGGGTCCCATTTTGCTTCATTTTTCTTGGATTAGTTTTATTTAATTGGTGGAAATATTGGGGTTATGTTTTCATTATTTTATGTTATCACTAATAATAATGATAATAATCTATGAAATTATGAAACCGTGTGCCAATTAGTATAAGCTGGACTATTATGCCGTGTTTATTACGTTTTGAGGTGGTAAAGGAGTTTTGTATAAGTTGATATTTGACTTTTTTGGGGTCTGGATGTTTTAGTCTGAAATTAAATGAGCAATTTTAACTGAATTCAAATGTACTGTACATGGTATCGTGATATGGTACTCCTTCCATTCTTTTGTGTTTGTCCTATTTGGAATATTCTATTTTGGGATGAAGAAAATTTGACGCTCATTGATATATTGAAAAAAAAAAGAAATGCTCTTGTGGGATCCTGATAGATTTGTCTCAATGTTTGGTATTGAAGTACTCTGTATAAATTTGTCAAAAAGATTTAATTATACGTAGTTAAAGATATAGGTAATTTTTTTTTCATAGATATTCATTGAAAATCGTGAAAGAAAAAGTCAAATGAGAAGAAGATCAAATAAATTAGGGAGTAGAGTTGAGAATATGGAGTGTAGAGCAAAATTAGAACTTGTTTTTACTAATTCTACTCTTGTTTTTTAAGGGCTATGTTTAGCAATTTAACCATGAACTAGACATAGGCCACATAGCTCATGGTTGAAATAGTGGTTGGAATGTCTTTTGATTTGGAGTAAGTGGTACGTGATGATATTAACTAGATTAGTTGGTATAGTTTCAAGGGGAGGGGACGGAGATGGAGACTTGATTGAAATTGCATTTCAAGGTAAAGTTAGGATGATGAAATCTACAATAGTTTGTTAGAATAATACATGATAAAATATCGATGTCCATTTGCTATGTGTGGCTAAGGTCAAGGAAGTAGGAACACGAGGGGAAAATGAAGGTGGTGGGACAATGGGGCTACAACCCCATTTTGGAGGTTTTGGACCATGGAGGAGACAACTCGAGTGTAGAGGCCCACACGGGTCCTATACATGGGATTATGATGTTTATAGGTTAAGAGACAAAAGCTCATGGTCAATATTTGGTCATAATTTTGAATGGTCTGGCACCTTCTGCTTTCTTTTGTGAACATTTATCTAAAGAGGAATTGAATTGTCAAAGGATCTAAACACAATGAATAATCTATTTGCCTTTCCCATCATGAGTATTTTCAACTCCTAACCATGATGATTTTGCAAGGCATGAACAGTGAATCCCAACCTAATTAATTATGCCGAAAAGAGATCTCTCTTTATTATGTTCCGTGTGTGAGCCCGGTTGTGTAAATATACAATTTGACCTCTGTAGCACACGCATTTGCACCTACACTTGAGAACATGATGACCTGTGCATAATTGCACCTGTATCTGAGAACATGCTCTCTAGCTAACAAACTGCGATGTCATCTGGTGTAGGATGTTTCTCAAAAAGTACCTAATAACCTAAAGTTGGGTATGTAAGTTCTCTGATCTGACTGATACACAGCAGACTGTAATCCTTTATTTCAATCTATGTTTTACTGGAGTATGTGATGTTCTGTGATGTATGAGAATTGTGCTCCTACCCCTGCTGCCACTTTTTATTCCTGTTGTTTTTTTGCTCATAAAGGGCATTTGTTTTGCAGGGATGCAGACCCTTGGAGTCCATGGATATTATTGGTGGCTCTGCATCAGTAAGTCCATGCTCATCATACCCAGTCAGTCCTCGAGCTGGTGCATCCTATAACCCAAGTCCTGCTTCCTCCTCTTTCCCGAGTCCTGCTCGTTCATACTTTTCTCCTAATGCCAATGGCACTGCTGATCCTAATTCCCTCATTCCATGGCTGAAAAACCTGTCTTCGTCTGGCTCTTCATCTGCATCTCCAAAGCTTCCTTATTTGTATGGCCCTGGAGGCTCAATAAGTGCCCCTGTGACACCTCCATTGAGCTCACCGACCTGCAGAACTCCTAGAACCAAGACTAACGACTGGGATGATAATAATGTTGCCCCACCATGGGCCAATCCACAGAATTACTCTTTACCTTCTTCGACACCACATAGCCCTGGCCGCCAAAGCTTTCCTGAACCTGGTTGGCTTGCAAATATCCAAATTCCAAATGGTGCGCCCACATCTCCAACATTTAGTCTTGTATCCTCCAACCCATTTGTCTCAAGAGATATGGTGATGGCTGCAGACGGGGGTTCAAGGATGTGGACCCCAGGTCAGAGTGGGACGTGCTCACCTATTGTTGCTACTGGCTCTGATCGTACAGCAGATGTTCCTATGCCAGACGGAATGGCAGCTGAGTTTGCATTCGGTAATGGAATGACAGGAGGCTTGGTTAAGGCTTGGGAAGGAGAGATCATTCATGAAGACTGTGTACCTGATGATCTTGAACTCACTCTTGGAAGCTCAAGAACAAGGTGATCACATTGTACAAACAGACTAGTTCTGCGACATATTTAGAGTCAGGAGGTCATCTGCTTCCGCGTTCCCTGTCCAAGAGTGCCTAAAATTTGTCCCCTGTGTTCAGTTGGTTGCATTTTCTGGGATGACAAATGATTTGGTTTACTGGAAAAAAGCCGGAATTTCTCCCTGCTACCTTGAGGAGAAGATGAGCAGGGTGAACATGGATAGTTTTGTAATGCGGGTGGTTTTAATTCGTTTATTTTTCCTTTTTAGACCTGGTTTATTTTCCAAAATTTGGGGAAAAAGGGAAAAGAAAAAAAATCACAATACCTATAGGCTATACAGCATTATAAATTTTGATTTGTTTGAAGACTGGATTTGTGATTTATAAGCTATTAATACCAGATTAGAGATTGGTTTGTGTAGTCCTGAATTGCTAGAGCTCCTTTTGCATTCTTCATATCTGTGACTTCAGGCTGCTATGGCCTTCTTTACAGCATCGTTTACAAACAACCTTCGCATCCAAGCAAACATGATAGATTATACTCCCTCTGTTATTAAATAATTTAACGCTCTTGCTTAAGATCATTTTGAAGGAACAGCTATGATTACAACTTTGTAATATTACTCCATTCTTCGTCACTATCATAGTAATTAGAGTGAATATAGGTACCTTTTTTTTTGAACAAGAATAGGTACTTATTAAAAAGGAAAATATATAGTAATTATGAAAATAAAAAAGTTTGGTGCTGGTATTGTATTATTGTCTATAAATCATCATTACTGTTCGAAAAATTATAATAACCACTCGTACAATTAAATATGATTAAAATGAATTCACATCAGTAAGCACTTGAGCAATCTCTATGTACATGGAGTTGCTTATGCTTATGGCTCGAAAGGCTCGATTAATCTCTTCTTTTGAATCATCAACATTTATACAATGCATGGTTCGTGCAGGCGGATGCACGATCCACATGGTGCATCTCTTCCAAAAAAAGGCAGAAAGAACATTGCATAGAAATATAAAGAACATTTAGTTTAAGTAAAAAGAACATTTTATAGAATTGTAAAGAACATTGTATAGAAATATAAAGAACATTCCGTTAAAGTGCAAATGACATGTTATAAAATTGTAAAGAACATAACGTGTACTTAAATAATGTTCTTTACCTTCATGTTCTTTGATTGTCAGAATAATGTACTTTTATTTGTGACATGTTAATTGTTTATTTTGAAATGTTCTTTGAATTTTGTCTTTAGATTATGGGGTTGAATAAAAGTAATGTTCATTACATTATATTATCATTAATTAAAGGTGATAAAAAATTCGGGTCGGGCTGGGCTATAACATAATATCTCGTGTCCAAAAAACCCGGAAAATGTAGTGGGCTTTTCGGCTTTTTTTCGGGCCGAGTTTGGATTTTTTTTAGCTAAAAATGCAATTTTAGGCTTGTCTAAACCCGCCCTATTTTCGGGTTGGATCGGGTCGGATCTGGTCGGGCCGAAATTGATCACCTCTAATTATCATGTTTTTAATTAATATTACGGATGTTCTTTAGATATATATAAAGAACGTGAAGTTGGATGTGTTTTTTACAAAATAGGTATATGTTCTTTATAAAACAACTATATGTTCATTACAATACAACTATATGTGATGTTCTTTATGAAAAAGATATTTGTTCTTCACAAAACAAATGTATGTTCTTTACTGAACAACGGAATGTTCATTCCGCGTTTTTAAAGAGAAAACGGATGCACGGAGCATCATGCATCCGCCTCCACAGAAAAAATTTCTAACATTTATAATCACCCTTATTAGATAGACTACTCTCATTGCCATAATATCATCCAAACGAATATTTATGAAGTGAATGCCCTTGATTAGTAGTTGAGATCATATGTCCCATCTATGTCTCGGCAATCATCTAACGCCCTTGTGTTTTCTGATTTTGACACATCAACAAACTTAATAAGAAAAACATTTTAAGTAATGAAAATTGGTGTTTTAAACAGATGATGTGGCAAAATTAGAGGTTAAAACATACGATTTGACTTAGAATGAGACAGATGATCCAGCACACCACGTGATTAATTTCCAGGTTTCTGATACAGATCTGCCACAGCTTGATAGAGAATAGATGCAGCAGGAGGACTGGGCAATGAACCCAGCAAAATATCCGAAGCACTGATAAACTGACTCACATAAAATCGAGTATTTTCCCTTGTCCTAGAGGTAAAAATATTTCCATCCAGTGAACAACCGAGAAATGCACCTAAACAAAGATTTTATAAAAAGACGAATACAACAGGACCTGACCACAGGAGCCAAAAAACAGAAAACAGAAACATGTTTCCAGATAGGTTTCTTAAAACGAAAAACTACAAATGTTGAATATGCTAGAAAAATAATGGTTAGACCACGTTGAGTTTTCATTAATGGACGAGGGATGATGTAAATCTGCATCAAGCAGATCATATGGAATAGTCTGAGGCAGTTATATATGGCAGGTAACTACTAGATTGTTACATTTTCACAGTTCCTAGCAATCAGCTTGATGGTTTTTTTCCACAAGGCATATTTTGCACATATAAAAGCTTTAATTAGTTGGCCATGCTGGCACGCTATCTGTTGGTAGGGGTGAACATGGTTTGGTTTGGTGTGGTTTGAGTCTAAACCAAACCAAACCAAACCGTGAAATACGGTTTGGTCAATTTTCCAAACCAAACCAAACCATATTAGTATTGAAACCAAACCAAACCAAACCGTAATAATGCGGTTTGGTGCGGTTTATGATGAGACGACATTTTTTCCTAAAAATTGTCAAATATTAATAAATTTATAATAAAGTTCAAATAATTAGCCAAAGGGCTTAAATTCTACTACAAATTTTAATAAAAATAACAACCAACTAATCAAGTGCTAAGTGCTAACACAAACACATAATAAAAATAATACATAACAAATTAACAGTGGAAAAAATCATAATACATTTGTCCAGAAAAATAATTCATACTACATTATAGTTTTGAGATTGAGTATAGAGTATAGCAGTATACTGACCGTATAGTCTTCGAATGAATTTTCATGTTTTTTTTGTTTTTTTTGTTTTTATTTTTTTTTAATAATATATAATAACTATTTTAATTTATTTAAAAATTATTTAAATATTAAAATGCGGTTTACTGGTTTACGGTTTGGTTTGGTTTATAATTTTTGAAAAACTAAACCAAACCGCAAACCGTATTTCCCAAAAAATCGAAACCAAATCGTATTTTTCCAAACCGCAAACCAAACCAAACCGCTAAAATGCGGTTTGGTCTGGTTTGGTTACGGTCTACACCAAACTGTGTACAGCCCTATCTGTTGGGTTTATGATGGTCAAACATATTTTGACTTAGTTTGTTAGTTGCTTCCTTCGCTCAAATTAAGTTTGTTAATCATGTAATTAGTTTGGAGAGTATAAATAGGTTGTATATCGTATTTAGTTCATTCTTAACACAACATAATAAAATATACACATTTTACTCTTTCTTCCTTATCTCTCTCTACTGACCAAAACTCAAGCTCTACTTTAATGGCTTCCCTGTCTCTTCTCGTTTCTTCCTCCTTAAATTCACATATTTATTATGGTATCAAAGCTTTGGGTTGTGTTGTGATCTGGGCCAATATCATGGACAACTCAAATTAGAAATAACCATTGAGGTTAATTTTTTATACCCGGTTTTTCGACCTTGAGGCTGATTTTTTTTCATTCTCATCCATATTTTCGAACTCCCTTGCCTTCTCTCTCTAACTTTCCCATTTTCCTTGAAACCCTAACCTTCAAACTCATCAAAACCCATCAAATCTCACTCAAATTTCTTCATTATACCATCACAAAACATCAAATTCATTACTTCACATTCTCCATCAACAAAGGTCCGAATTTTTCGTGGTTTTTCATGGGTAAATCTTGAAGCTTGCATGGGATTCTGGTTCATGAGGCTAGTTAGAGTTGATTTTGGGTATAATTTATTGGTATAATCACCTCATCTCTAGTTTTATTTGAATTTAGAGCATTGCTTTGGTGATTAAATTTGTTATATATGTGGATTTACTTGGTGAACTTTGATGTGTGAATGGTAGTTTGTGTTAAAATTTGTTGATTATTCTTGGTTAATTGTTGTTTGTTGGTTGAAATTTGTGATTGTTGGTGGTTTGTCTTGATTGATTTGTGTTGTTTGGTGGATTGTGGAGTGTGTGAATTGTGAAAGTTTGGTGTAGTAAGCGGGATTGTTGCTTGCTATTGGAGTTGTGCTATTTGAGTCTTGGTGATTGTGAATATGGTGGGTAGTTCTAAGAAGAGAAAGAGTGGGAAGGGGCTTTAACGATTCTCTTCTCAAACCCCTCAAAACACCGAACAACCACCACCACCTTTGCCACCACTCAAATTCAATAACAAACACCACAAGCCCATACATGAAAACTTGCTATCCCAAAAAATCCTACCCACCAAGCTAAGAACTACCACAAAGCCACAACAATTAAGCTTGCCATAGATGATTAGATGAGGATTGTTGGTTCTTATTCAACAATTTAAGGTTGGGTTCCTCTATGAATAAAGCATAGCGAACCTATAGAGAGCCTACCCTTAAATTTCTAGCCTTTTTTGAATGTCATGCCACTAGGGATGGCAATGGATCTAGACCCGACCCGGATCCGTGGATCTAGATCCGTTTTTCACGGATCCGGGTCTTCAAATTTTGGACCCGACGGATCCGGGTCCCGCTGACAAAAACGGATCTGGATCTGGGTCTGGGCCCTAGACCCGGATCCAGATTCGTGGACCCTTTTATTTTTTTTTATTTTTCCTATTAAAAAAAAACTAAAATTGTTTGTTTCTTTATTAAAAATGTTGATAATGTTAGTAATAATAAAGATTAACCCTTTCAAGAGAAAGAATTTTGGATGCTTATATTATATATATCATCGTTATTTTTTCACTAGCTTATATTTAACATCGTATTTTTTTTTGTTGTTTATAATTTTAATTCAAAATATGAGTGTATAAGTTGGTTAATTTGGGGTTGAACTTAATAACTAACAACGTAAGTTTGAAATAAATTTTTTGACCCGAGCATTACATTTATTACAAAAAATTAGGCAAAATATATTGGACCCGTTTTGGACCCGGATTCAGACCCGGATCCGTTGGACCCGACGGATCCGGATCCGGGTCTTCATTTTCTAGACCCGACGGATCCGGGTCGGATCTGGATCCTATATACTAAAACGGATCTGGATCTGGGTCCATCCGGACCCGGTCTAGATCCGACCCGTTGCCATCCCTATATGCCACTAGTGACAAAGACCTTGCCATCTCCTTCCAACTTTTCAACAAGAAAGAAACCATGAATCTTCGTCAATTCAATCAACACCTCAATATTAACCTCGATGCCAATCTTTTCTTTCCCGAACATGAAGGTTTACATGACTATAACCCCTTACATATTGGAATTGCATCTCAAGAATGGATAACTTCAATGCTAAGTAATCCTTAGTTTGTCAAATCAAGCACCCTGTCCTTTGACTTTTACACTGAATTCTTGGGTATATGGTTTTCAATAAGCAAGACTTTTTTTTACAGCAGAGAAAAAGGGACTTAATCCCCACATTTGCTAATACTAGACACTGAAATAAAGGAATAAGGTTTTGGATATTGTTGAGCAGATGTCAGGTATGATATGCCCCTGCTAAGTCACCCTGCACCCATTTGGCCAGCCTGATGTCTGGAGCAAAAAATTTTAAGTGCCACTGCCGCTTATCCAAAGCCATTCTGATTCCTTCCAACATCGAACCAACCATGTTGCTCACTCTATCAATAGCATGCTGCGAAGCCTCTCCCTGGTACACAGTGCCATCAGTACATGGCACTACTAGAAATAGGCTAAATAGCGACGAATGGCTTCTGACGGACATTATTTTCCTCGCAAAGTTTAAAAATTCCGACGGAATTTGTTTCGTCGCAATTTATTGACGGATTTCACTTGTTCCGACGAATTTTCTGTTGTAATTATTTCGACGGAAATATATTCCGTCGTAATTTCCATCTTCCATGAAATTTTCCGTCGAAAATAGCTTTGCGACGGAAATTTTCGTCGAAACATAACAATTACGACGGAATACTTTCTGTCGGAAAATATCAGATTTTTTAAAAAAGAGACCCAAATTAATTTAACCTAAAAAAAGAAGGGGAAAGAACGGGGAAATTAGGGATCGCACACAGAAGAAAGAGAAGGAGTCGGAAAGAGAAAAGGGGACCACCGTCGCCGACGAAGACGCAAACGCCGCCGACAATGTAAGAGAGAAAGAGGACGAGAAGGAGGAAGAGAAAGACAACGACGGGAGCTTGATATCCCTAACCACCACAACGCATCTGCTCCTTGTTTTCCGTCAAGCCTCCCTTGACGCTACAAGTTGTTGCCGGCGCCGCGTTTAGATCAGTTACAACCATTGTTTTTTTGGTTTTCATTTTTTTTAAAAAAATTCCATTCAAATCTGACTTACCCCTGACCACCACAACCGCAGCCTCCGGCCTCCTCCCTTCCCTTGCCATGGCTAAATCACATGAGGAAGGCAGTTAGAAGAAAATTCTGGTAAGTTGTCCTTTCCCCCCACTTTTTTTTCAATTTAATTTTTTTAATAATAAACCCTTATTTATTTAATTTAATTTTTTTTTTATATTTTGTAGGATTTGTACAATTAGATGGTTTAATTGTCAAAAAGAAGTGAAGATCTAAAGGTTAGTTACATTACAAACCCTAATATAATGTATGTATGTTAGTTTGGTTTGGTTTTGTTTAACATAACTTAGTTTAGCTAAGTTTATTCTAATATAATGTGTTTTAGTTTAGTTTAGTTTACTTTTTTTTGTAAGTATGTTAGCTTAGTTTAATATAATAAAACGGTAGTTTGGTTTGGTTTGGTTTTGTTTAATATGATATGTTAGTTTAGTTTGGTTTGGTGTGATTTGGTTAAATTATGATATATTTGTATAATATTTTGTATGTTAGTTTAGTTTTAATATTTTTAAATAAATCATTTGCATAATCATATGGCTAGATACCCGTTCAAGGCACGCATACACATTAGGAGTATGGCTTGAATAGTCCCTGGTTGGGGCTGTCCTTGTACGTTTATTCTCACTTAGGTGGTGAATGTATTCCTTTTTTTAATTCTAAGGAAGATCCTTGCTTGTCATTTCTGTAAAATGTTCTCTAGGTACATATATAGGTATTTTAATCGCCTAAATCGTGTACTTGGAGAACTGTAGGGAAATGCTGCCGGATATTTCATAGAATTGAAATCCTGGCATACATTCACTAGTGAGATTGAACGTCCAAGGATGGGTTAGGTTGGAGTGATAAGGACCCTTGGAAATCTTTTCAAATCTCATTTGCATTTTTATAACACTTTGATCTATAATGAATATATATTGTGCTTTGTGACTAATGTGATTAATGGCATATGCGCGAGTTGTGTAGAACTTGTAATCATGAAACGAAGAGAACGTAGCTGGATGTACGAAAGGAAGGTTAGGAATTCTATTAATCCTGAGTTCGTGAAGGGGGTAGATGAATTCCATAAATATGTCGAAGATCATCCCAAGAGTAGCAACCCGAATGAAGTTACGTGTCCATGTTTTAAATGCAAAAACAAACGTCTTTGGGATGCGGAAACTGTTAAACTTCATTTATATCACAAGGGTTTTTTTTACCTAATTACTATGAGTAGATGTGTCATGGGGAAGGGTTTCTAGGAACTCGTGAAAGGCACTCAAATGAATATCGTGAAATGGTTTTGGATGCATTTGGTCATTCTCAAGATCAAGGGCATTCCGAAGAGGCTAGTGTATCATTAGAGAAGGAGCTTAATGCACAAGCTAAGCATTTTTTTGATTTGTTAAGGGCTTCTGAACAACCGTTATACGAAGGGAGTTCATTGTCTGTGTTAGAGATGGCTTCTAGAATCACTAGCCTAAAGTGCGAGTATAATTTTCCGCATAGATGTGTTGATGGATTTGCTTCTTTGGTTAATGAAGCGATTCCTAACAACAACCACATGGCCGAGACATTCTATGAGGTCAAGAAAATTGTTAAGGGGTTAGAGCTGCCCCATGAAAAGATTCATTCATGCCCGAAAGGATGTATGTTGTTTTGGAAAGATGATGCTCAATTATCTACATGTAGGTTGTGTGGTAGCGACCGATACAAGAAGATTTATAAAGGTAGCTTAGTGCCTTTGAATGTTCTATTTTATTTCCCTATCACACCTAGGTTGCAAAGGCTTTTTGCAACTAAAAACATTTCCGAGGAAATGACATGGCATGATAAAAATCCTCGAGTTCAAGGCATAATGACACACCCTAGCAATAGTGAAGCGTGGAAACACCTTGATAATTGCTTTCCTGAGTTTGCCTCCGAACCTCGTAATGTTGACTTGGCCTATGTACGGATGGATTTGCTCCACATGGTCAGTTTGGGGGACAATATTCTTGTTGGCCTGTCATTTTGACCCCTTATAACTTGCCTCCGTCAATGTGTATGAAAAAACAGTTCATGTCCCTTTAGTTACTTGTTCCTGGTCCTAAAAACCCTAAGGGCAACTTGGATGTTTACATGCAACCGCTCATACACGAGTTAAAACAGCTATGGAAAGTTGGGGCAAGTACTTACGATATTTCGAGAAAACAGAATTTCAATCTTCGAGCAGCCATCCTATGGACCGTTAGTGACTTCCCGGCTTATGGTATGTTATTTGGTTGGACCACAACTGGTAAGAAGGCTTATCCATATTGTAAGGAGAAAAGCAAAGCATTTGGCTTGAACACGGTGGTAAGGTTTTTAGGTTTGATTGCCATCGTCAATTCCTTTCGACAAATCATCCTTTTCGAAATAGTAAAACTGAATTTTGTAAAAATAAAGTCGAAAAAGGTTCACCACCTCACATCATGTCAGGAGAGAAACTATGGGAATGTGAGAAAAACCTCCCGAAGGTAACAGATGGCCCCGAGGCACTGAAACGTCTCAAGAAAGCCAAAAAAGGGTGGTTCAGGTAAAGCACTCTATGGGACCTTCCATATTGGAAACAGCTGCTTGTTCGTCACAACTTAGATGTCATGCACATTGAAAAGAACTTTTTTGATCAGTTGATTCACACTATAATGGACGTGAAAAAACTATCTTGTGACTCGCCATCAGCTCGGAATGACATTGCCAAATATTGTAAACGACCCCATCTTCATCTTCAAGAGGATGATAGAGGATAAGAATTCATGCCAAAGGCTCCATTTGCTCTTGATAAGGCTCAGAGAAAGGTTTTGTGTGAGTGGGTCAAACAGTTGCGGTTTCCTGATGGTTACGCTTCCAATTTGAGCAGATGCGTTGATTTGCAAGCATGTAAGTTACATGGAATGAAAATCCATGATTGTCACGTGTTCATGGAGAGGTTGTTTCCCACTGCTTTGAGAGAATTTCTCCCTAGCCATATATGGAATGCAATTACAAAGATAAGCTAATTCTTTCGTGATTTATGTGGCTACACAATTACAGTTAGCGACATGGAGAGATTGGAAAAAAACATAGCTGAGATCCTGTGCAAGCTTGAGAAGGTTTTCCCTCCTTCATTCTTCAACTCCATGGAGCATTTACCAATTCATTTGCCATATGAGGGCAAGTTATATGGACTTGTTCAATATCGGTGGACGTATCCTTTCGAAAGGTAAATCAAAGGCCCTTTCTCAAATCTTTCTTTCATCTCATTCATTGATAAGGGCTACTTATACATCTATATCTATATAAAAATAATTACAGTTTCCTCAATCACCTGAGACGGAAAATTGGTAATAAGGCTCGAGTTGAAGGTTCCATATGCAACGCTTATCTCACTAAAGAGATATCAAACTTCTGCTCCAATTACTTTCAGCCCTCAGTTGACACAAAAACACGAGATCTAGGTCAAAATGTGAATTCTGATGTGGAATCCACGACTGACAACTATGAAATCCCAGAGCTATTCACGGTGGATAAGGGTCGTGTGTCAAATGTGGGTAAAACTCGGTTTTTAGATGACAAGGAACTCGAATGTGATCATTTGTTCGTTTTGAGTAATACCGGCATTCTTGGTGAATACGAAAGGTATATATGTTTAGGAGAAAATTTTCAAAAAGCCTTAAATTTAAAATAATATCTGCAATGATTAACCTTGTGTTATTAATCTATTAGGCAGTTTGAGGACTACATTCTTAGTACTCGAACTTATTTACGTAGAGAAGATGTCATGGAGAAATGCAAAAGTGAATTCCCTGATTGGTTTCATCACAAGGTGATAATACTTTTCAAACATTACATATTGATTAACTTGTGATAAACACTAAATTTCATTTCAAGAAGTGTGACATTTGTATTCAAAACGATTATAGGTGGTGGAATAGAAACCAAGTTCCGATGTGTTGCGAGCATTGTCTATGAGACCTTTCAAGCGTGTTCGAACTTGGAACCAAAATTTTGTCGGTGGCTTTAATTTCCACACACAGTCCTATGGCAAACACAAATCTACGATGAGTTATGGGGTGTGTGTGTCAAGTGAGGACGGTGGAGAGTAATTTGGCATTTTAAACGATATAATTGAACTTTTCTACACTGATCCGGAAAGAGAGTACAAAACTATTTTGTTTTAAGTGTAATTGGATGGATTGTGGTAGAGGAACGAACATACATGAACAATACAAGCTTGTCGAAGTAAATCATACTAAGAAATATCCCAAGTATGATCCATTTGTCTTATCTTACCAAGTGTCTCAAGTGTACTATGCATCTTACCCTAGCCTTAAACGTGATCGAATTCAATGGTGAACTGTATTTAAAACACAAGCAAGGTCGGTGGTTGATGCTCCGGTGGATTTAGAGTGTTTACAGGATCCTTCACCACAAGTACATGCAACTCTTTGTCCACTAATTGACATTCCAGACTATGAACTTGATATTGATGATGATGATGACGATGGCTTTGTTATCTCAAGCGATGAAGAAGAAGAAGAAGGAGAAGAAGAAGAAGAAGAAGAAGAAGAAGAAGAAGAAGAAGAAGATTGATAGTGACGAAGAAGAGGACATCAATGTATTTTTAGATGACACTAGTGATAGTGATAATGATAGTGGTAGTAGTGATAAGAGTAATGAAGAGGAGAATATGTAGTTACTCCTTTAACTATTGTCTTGTAATTTTTATTTTTTAATGACTACTTGGACTTGTAATATTGCATTACATATTTTGTCTCATTTTATTTTTTATGTAATATGGTTCTAATTTATGAAATTACAATGTCCGATCATGGTACTAACAATTTTTTCAGGTGGTCATGGCGGGAGGAAATAAAGGAGAAACGTCCAAGAGGAGAAAGACTAAGGGGAAATCTCAGGTTATACGTGATGATGAGGACGAGTCAATGGAGGAAGAGGAGGCACACGATTTGGGGGCGTCTCAAGAAATCATCACTTGGAGACAGATTCAAACACATGTATAGGAGCAACAGGAGCAACATGACCCACAACCTAATGACTTGCCGGAGTTAGACCCTTCCACACTTTGGTGCGTTTTGTTCACTTTTTGTTGATTATATACTTTCCTGAATATCTATCCTTTATTATAGGTTTGATGATAAGCCGATGTGGAATATGCTCTCTAACACGCTAACCGGCTACTATCGAGAGCCTTGGAAGAATTACGGAGAGGTTGATGAAAAAACAAAAGAACACTTTTGGAACTTGTTCAGCGTATGATAACTTTAACCTAACATGATACATATTTTTATAAAGTATATTGATGGAGCAAAATTTGTAATAAAGACACTTTCTTGATTTACAGAAAAAATTCAAGGGGGCATGCACCTGAGTTAAACGAGCATGTGAAGCAAACTTTTGAATTCAAGTTTGCAAATCGCCTACGTGACATGTTCTACCAGATCACAAAGAGGATGAATGGTGTCAAACCAAAATGGCTTAATGAAGATGTCCACGAAGCTATGATGGAAATTGTTGCCAATGATCCAATATATAAGAAGCGGTCAGAACAAAACAAGAAGAACAGAAGAGGCGGATCCATGGAAAATGTCGTTGAATCGACCCACTTTCAAGGTTTTATGTCAGCTGTACAACATGCTAAAAGGATGGTAAGGTTCATAAAATGTGTCCAGTAACAATGAAGTCATTTGTGTATTAATGAACTTTTATAGGCTGACATGTTTTCATTGTTTTTCTGCATGTACATTTAAAGGCGGAAAAAAAACCAAGGCCAATTACCAAATGCCCCTGATCTTTTCTTGAAGACACACTTCAAGGAAGTGCCTGGGAAAGGACAAGTGGCTGCCAACACCAAAGCCAAAAGGATTGCGGTAAAAACTTATTATATGACTTGATATATGGCAAATTAGCAAAGTAGAACTCATTATATGCTAATTTCAATGAATTTGGATGAAAAAGGGTCGCAAAATGACTTATGATCTCATTTATCTTGATTTATATCCATAACCACCTAAAATTATTTGATATTGGAATGTTAGAAGAAAGAACGAGTTCATTTGATTGAAAACATAGAAACTAGGCAAGGTTAAAGCTATATAGGCCAAATTTGCTTGAATTTGGATGAATGAGGGTCGTAAAGTGACTTATGTGCCTTTTTACCTTGATTTCTATCCATAGGAACCTAAAATTATTTGATATTAGAATGTTAGAAGAAAGAAGGAGCTCATTTGATTGAAAACATAGAAAATAGGCAATGTTTAAGCTACATAGGTCAAATTTGCTTGAATTTGGATGAATGAGGATCGTAAAGTGACTTATGTGATTTTTTATCTTGATTTATATCCATAGATTCCTAAAATTATTTGATATTGGAATTTTAGAAGAAAGAAGGAGCTCATTTGATTGAAAACATAGAAAATAGGCAAGGTTTAAGCTATATAGGTCAAATTTGCTAGAATTTGGATGAATGAGGGTCGTAAAGTGACTTATGTGCTTTTTTATCTTGATTTCTATACATAGGAACCTAAAATTATTTGATATTGGAATGTTAGAATAAAGAAGGAGCTCATTTGATTGAAAACATAGAAAATAGGCAAGGTTTAAGCCATATAGGCCAAATTTGCTTGAATTTTGATGAATAAGGGTCGAAAATTGACTTATGTGCTCATTTCTCTTGATTTCTATCCATAGGAACCTAAAATTATTTGATATTTGAATTTTAGAAGAAAGAACGAGTTCATTTGATTGAAAACATAGAAAATAGGCAAGGTTTAAGCCATATAGGCCAAATTTTCTTGAATTTGGATCAATGAAGGTCGTAAAGTGACTTATGTGCTTATTTCTATCAATTTATATCCATAGGAACCAAAATTTATTGGATATTGGAATGTTAGAATAAGGAAGGAGCTCATTTGGTTGAAAACATAGAAAATAGACAAGGTTTAAGCTATATAGGTCAAATTTGCTTGAATTTGGATGAATGAGGGTCGTAAAGTGACTTATATGCTTTTTTATCTTGATTTCTATCCATAGGCACCTAAATTTATTTGATATTGGAATGTTAGAAGAAAGAAGGAGTTCATTTGATTGAAAAACATAGAAAATAAGCAAGGTTTAAGCCATATAGGCCAAATTTGCTTGAATTTTGACGAATGAGGGTCGTAAATAGACTTATGTGCTCATTCTCTTGATTTCTATCCATAGGTACCTTAAATTATTTGATATTGGAATGTTAGAATAAATAAGGATCTCATTTGATTGAAAACATAGAAAATAGGCAATGTTTAAGCCATATAGGCCAAATTTGCTTGAATAATCAAGAATAAGAAACCTTACCTTATATTGTTAATTGTTTTTTTAACAATTTTTTTTATTATCTTCTATATTTTGTTGGAGACCTACCAGAAGAAGCTCGAAGAAGCAAGGAGTCAGGGGATTCAGAAGATTCCTAATGAGTTGTACTGGGAGATGGTGGGTGGGCGCAATTAGAAGGGTCGTGTGAAGGGACTTGGCCAAAGTGCAGAGCTCTACTATGGCAAACGGATGGGTCGAGTTTTCCGTTCTTTACAACAATACACGCCGTCTATCATTTCTCAGATGCAAGATCAGATGGAACATAGGGTGCAAGCTCTCCAAACTCAAATAGAAGTCGAGATGCAAAGCCGAATTGACTCTCGAATGGCTGAAATAGATAGGAGATACAAGGAGAGTATGGATGAGATGATGATAGTTTCACAAACAACGACGCATGTTCCACCATTCATCCTCAGCATCAAGACCCTAGAGATGACCCGGGTAGTGATGGAGCAGGCTAGGGTACCCAGGCGATTGTGTAACTTAGCTTCAATCTAGCATAGATTCACTCTAGCATAGCTTTTGTTTGGTATGGATACCAAATTAGTTCGGACTATCTTTTGTACTATGACATAATTATTATATATATATAAATAATTTCGTAGGTCGGTAATTAATTTTTTTTAAACAGCAACTTCTGCAGGTGTTTTGTCGATTTATTATAAACAAAAATTCAGGTTTGGAAATGCATTTTTTTTTCAAATATTACAGGCGGGTTTGAAGGTCCTTCCGACGGATTATATCCATCGCAAACAGCATTGATTAACGACGAAAAAAATCCGTCGAAAGTTACCGACGGAAAAGTCCCTTGCACATTTCCGACGGACTTTTTTCCTTCGGAATATTGCGACGGATCTTCAATTAAAGTGAAATTAAATTCCGACAAAATCATTGCCATTGGAAATGAAGTTTACGACGGAAATTCCGTCGGAATATGGCTTATTTCCTACAAAAGGTTTTCCGATGGACGTTTCCGACGGAATTCTGTCGCAACCTTCATTTCCGACGGATTTTTTATATTTTCCGACGAAAATTTTCCGTCGCATTTACGCTGTTTTTTTGTAGTGTGGTAAGATCCAAGAGCCATAGATTGTTGGTGTTCCTGTATCTTGCTTTCCTCAAGCCAAGGGTGGCATTCATGCAATCGCTGCACCCTGCAATTAGCTGCACAATATCATAATGGCCAAGCAACTTGTTATTCACAACACTATCTTCAAAGCCTGGGGGCCAGATCAGAGCCAAGTGTATCAGCACACACTTCAGAATGGTTAGTAATCCTGTAAGCTTTCACTTTCAGTTCCATACTCTTAATAGTTTACCATGCATTCTGCTTGTTTTTCTTGAAAATTAGGTTGTTCCTTGCCTCCCAAATGCTTTCCAGACCTGCAACAAAAAAAGAATAACTCTCTCTCAATCCTCTCTTATTGTCACATAACAATCTTTGCTAATTATAGACCCAATCAGCTATAGGAATGTTATCTTGGTAATTAACATTGAGCCCCAAGGAGCAACCCTTCCAAATATGACTAGCAAAAGTGTAGTCTCGAAAAAGGTGTTCAAGTGTTTCCAAGCTAGACTTCTCACGCTCTTCCTCATTGAAACATAACACACAGTGATGATCAGAGCCAAGTCCTCTTCTCTTTCTTTCACTCCTTGTAGGAAGAACCCCTTTTAGGATTTCCCACATAAAAGTCTTTTGCCTAGGATTTCCAGGAAAACTCCAAAAAAAGCTTCCAGTTGACGTTGCTATCTTCATAGTGTTGATCATGTAATTGATTACTGTTGAACATGAACATGTATCCACTCCTTATAGAGTAACAAACCTGCCTATCACCATTCCAGACTATTAAATCTTCATGGCCAGTCTCTATTAGGTGGATGGAAGTGGTTTTCTCAACTGTGTCTTCATTAAAAAGAAGATTACATTCATCCAAATTCCACTCTCCATTACAGTTAAGAAGAGAAAATATAGTTGCATTAGTTGAACCAGTATGACCATTCCAACCTGGCACCTTGCCATAGATCTAGGGGTGGTGAATTTTAGTTGTGCACCCATCCCCTACAGACACGAGCAGCCTTGTTTCAACATTTGTAAGGCCCATTTGATGCCCATCAAACCCCACGAGCCAAAACTCTTGTTACTCCACCTATTCTCAAAAAGAGTTGTCCTGTCGATCCCATATTTAGCACTAAAAACCTTACTTACCAGGGAGTCAGTATCCATAATTATACGCCAACCTTGTTTTTCTAATAGATCTTGGTTGAAAAACCAAGCATCTAGGATACCAAGACCCCCATTCTTCTTAGGGGTTGTGAGGTGATTCCAACTCTTCCAATAAACCCCTTTACAGTCCTTATTACCCATCCACCAGAATTTAGCAATGATACTATTTATTTTCTTGAGAATCCCCATAGGGCATTTTAAGATTGAAAGGACATAAGTCCCTAGACTAGAAAGGACGGATTTAATAAGAGTGAGTCTTCCTGCAGGGGATAGAAAAAGAGAGTTCCAAGCATTTAGTCGTTCTTTCACTCTGTCAACCATGAAACCGAAGATTTCCTTTTTTGTAGTTCCAAAATCAGCCGGGGTACCCAGGTAAATTCCAAAATTATTGCTTCTACTAATGCCTAAAATATTGCTAAAGTTGTTGATATCCTCCTCCTTTGAATTTGGGCTAGCAAGAAGCATTAATTTGCTTTGGCTAATAACCTGACCAGAAGCCTTGCAGTAAATATCAAGGGCATTTTTAAGAGCTCTCACATAGTTTTCTTTCCCATGAAGGAAGAACATCGAGTCATCAGCAAAAAAGAGATGGCTGATGTTAGGAGCTCTTTGGGCCACTTTTAAGCATACAATGTTCCCAAGCTGTTCATTATTACTTCTATTTAGGACCGACAAAGCTTGCATGCACAGGATAAATAATTAAGGTGATTGGGGATCACCTTGACAAAGGCCACATCTTGGGTTGAAAGGTTTTTGAGTGCAGCCATTAAGAATTACAGAGAAGGAGACAGAACTAACACACTTCATAATAGTCTTAACCATAAAATTAGGGACCCCAAAGTTGTACAACACAGTTTCTAAAAAAATCTCACTTAATTATATCATACGCTTTTCTCATGTCCGTTTAAATGGCAATTTTCCCCTTTACTCCTTTCTTAGTTTTCCTAATGTTTTCAAGAAGTTCATGAGCAAGAAGGATGTTATTCGACATAGCTCTACCCGGGATAAAAGCATTTTGAAAGTGGCTAACCAAGTCATTAATCACCCTCCTAAGTCTATTAGTGATGCACTTGGAAATAATCTTGTAAATGACATTGCACAAACCAATAGGCCTTAGCTTATCCATAGACTCTTGATTCTCACATTTAGGAATGAGAGCGATGTTAGTGAAATTAAACTCTCTTAGAAGGTTAACTGTGGTTATGGCCGATTGAACGACTTCAATAACATCATCTTGAACCCGACTCCAATTTTTCTGGTAAAATCTAGCTGGTATCCCATCGGGTCCTAGAGCCTTCCATGGTTTCATAGTAAAAAGTGCATTCCTAATCTCCCTTCTTGAGTATGGTCTCGAAAGCCAGTCCCTCTGATCCTCTGAGAGGGAGGTAGTGATTCCCCTTGCGACTTTTGCAATTTCAGCCTCTCTGTTTGTAGAGTGAGGTTGGATGTTTCTCTCATAAAGCTTTTTGAAATAATCCACAACAAGTTCTGCAATTTTCCCCTCCTCTGTCAACCAATCCCCATTTTCGTCTTTAGTAGCTTCTAATTTATTTCTTGCCTTTCTCCTTTTAACAAAGTTGAAAAAATACCTAGAACATGTATTCCCTACAAAATTCCAATTTAATCTTGCCCTTTGCCTCTAGTAAAAAGCCATGTTTCTTGCATATTCCTCCATCTTCTTGCTAACTCGCATGAAGTCCTTTGCTTCTCCTTCGTTCTCCAGAAGCAGTTGTGCTTGAAGGAGGGCCTTTTTAAAATTGTCCCATTCTCCATCCCAATCGCATCTTTTATCAAGACTCCATTTTTAATTCCCAACTTGGCATGTTGAGTACGCCTTGCTAATTTGTACATTGGTGAACCATTCTGCTCCCTGTTCCAATTCACACGTGCTACCTCAATACAATCAGCATAATTTAGACTCCATCTCTCTATTTTTGATGCACTCTTCTTTTTGGTAGGCAGTTGTTGAATTTGGAAGACGATCGGGGCATGATCAGAAAGTTGAATTGTTTGATGACTAATGATCGAATGGGGGGGAAGATTTAGCCACCTTGTGTTTATATATCCTTTATCAAGCCTTTCCAATACCAATTCATATCTCTGTCTACCATTTGACCAAGTATACCTAGGTCCTTGGAAGATAATATCGTGAAAATTATTGCTAGTCTTACATTCCTTAAAAACGTTGACTCCCTTAATATTTGAGGAGTGTTGACCCGTTTTGTCAAGGTGAGAGTCCACTTGATTGAAGTCCCCTACAATTGCAATTGGAAGATCAAGGGAGGGATTTGTCCATTGATTAAGACAATCCCAAACCCCACCTCGTTGTGAAGTACAAGGTTCCCCATACACCAAAATCAATCTCCATTTTCCATTAATAACATCGTTAACGTTTACAACAAGGAAATTGACACAAGTAAAGACTACTTCAAAAAGGGACTTATTTTTCCAACCTAGCCAAAGACCCCCACTTAAGCCCCTAGGAGCTACTTTTAGTTTCCGCAAGAAAAATAAAATCCGGACCAAAAGACCCAACAAGCCTTTTAAGTTTTGGAATTATCGGTGTAGTTGGGCTTTTAATACCCCGACAACTCCACAAAAGACCAATCACTGAGATGGAGTTGGTTGAATTGGGTTAACCACCGCAAGCCCATCACCTACAAAAGTGAGCGTGAGACAAGCATCAAAAGAGAGAAAAGGACCTGGCCCAAACCCAGGCTTGGAAGTAGACGGGCCTGCAGACGATCCTCCATCATCAAGGCCTTTCCCTTTTTTCTTCTTTCTTGTTAAAAGAGAATCATCATCATCTTCAGTCTCGTCTATAAATTGAAGAGAGACGAGGTCCAGGTCTGAAATTGCTTTTCTTTTGAGAGGGCAATTTTCTTGTTTAAAGAGCCTCTTCTCTTCCCTTTCTTAAAACGCCTGTTCTTCACCCTCCTCCCCTTTCTAGCCTTCTCACCCCATCTGGTAAACAGGACCGCGCTGTCAGACATGGTTTCTGATGGAGAGTGATAGTCAATCCCCCTGATCCAAAAATAGCAACCTCCAACTGTTCAATTTGGGGGCGAGCTTGAATTGGCAGATTTGCTTGAGCATTAATTTTGTTCTCCTCTAGTTGATTGTCTTCATTAACATCAATCTGGAACTCCCCTTCCCATGGGTTCAAAGGGTCTTCCGGAATCTGACCATTTGTCTTCATCTTCTCATTGAAAATCCATCGGCTTATACACCGGTGAGTCAGGTTCCTTGATCTCCACTGCCCTTGGGTTGTTTTGCGCATCGAATTCAACGAAAAACGTTGGTTATAGCCCGAGTTGTCCAGCCGTCTGTCAGCTATTCCATCGTTCAATTCCACCCTTGATTGTATCGTCGAGCTCATAAGCACATCAAAACGAATCCGTTCAATTTCCGGTCCATACTAAGGTACTGCAGCTGTCGTGTTGGCTGCCGGAGCAAC